CTGAGGTATAAAGAGGTGAGGTGACTTGCCTGAAGTCACAACAGACCAGAGGCACAGCTGAGGGTAGAGCCTACATCTGTTGCTTATTTTGGGTGGGGAGAGAGGAGAGGGGGCAAAAGATTATAGTTAGTTTTAAGATGTAGCTTGATAAATTCATGAATAGCTTTATATGAGATGGTTACTGGTGATGTAAGAAGACTGGTTGTGTCTCTGTCACTAGCATGGTACTTACAGTATGGCAGGAGGTAGACTATGCAAGGGTGATCTTCAGATATCAGGTCATGCCAGTTTGAGGGTGTATTTGGAAAACAGTGAGAACCTGCCTAAATGCAGGGAAGGGCCTGGTGATAGAAAGAAAGGACATGTCAAAATGCAGCACAGCTTTTCTTTTTTCCTTCTAATGATGTGGAGCCACATCAACAGCCAGTGAAACTCAGAGCAGGAGAACTGATTGATAACAGCTGAAGATTTGGACCATAATATTTTATCAGAGCTAGTAAAGTCTGCTATAATTCTTTGTGGCTCATTTCTTCATTGTTAAAAAACTAATTGAAAATGCTAAAAGCACCCTGAGCAGTCAGAAATTACCAGAGAATGTGGGTAGTTATGGTATTAGTGGTTACCACTCATTTGAAACTAATTGCACCCTAAGGTAAAACCAAATACAGTAGCGAACTACATCCAAAAATGCTGTCCACATCTGAGGTTATAACCACTATCGTCTTCCAGTTTTAGCATGGTTTGATATTCAAGAGCTTGAAATGAAGAGTGATGGTGTTGGTTTTGGACTGGGTTCCTGCCATTAATCATGAAGCATACTGGTGAGAATCTCAGCTTTCATGGTGGGTCAAAGCCTGTTTCTCAATTACCTTCCATATGTAGCCATGCCTGCTGTTAATATGCAGCACAGCTTTCAAAGACTCTGCTGCTTGATCACAGCCAACCCCTGCTTCCACTGAGGCCTGTTGACTGAAGTCACCGGGAGCAGAATCAAGTCCTAGCAAGAGAACAAGGTGTACAAGTGGCTCCTTGTGAGAGGGAAGTCTGTGTGAACCTGAACAACTACGGGGGTGTTGGGAAAGTATGGTGTAGAATTCAAACCCAGAACCATACCCACATCTGAGAGGTCCTTCCACCCATGTGCACTGCTCTCATCCATGTGCATCACCAACTTTGTGTCAACAACATATAAACATAAAAATGCAGTTTGGGTATTTTTTGATGGAGAGTCATAATTGTTCAATGGGTGTGTTTCTGCACAGGAAAAACCATTCTAACCATAGCTAGAGTGGATCAAGGAGATACCCCAGCTAGCTAGTTCAGTTGCATAAGAGGCAGCAAGAGGCATTGAGCATCACACTTTTGCACTCAGGCCAGAGTCTGAACCACAAATCATCTTCCCTTTTGGCAGAAATTAGATCTCATGCTCTAGGAATAAGACATTCCAGTGAGCATCTCTCTCTCGTGGCCGTATGCGTGCCAGCAAGCACTGGAGTTACCTACTCAGAGAAAAGGGCAAGGTATTTTTCTGTTGACCTTAAGAGGCTTTGAAAATACTCCCACTGATAATGTTAAAGGCTATATACATTATTGTTCAATAGAGAGACCTTCTAGCAAGTTCCTTGGTGGGTGATGCTATGTTTACTCATGGAAACTGGGCACTCTTCGAGGCTTTTATTGGTGCCATCCTTTTTAGCATCCTTGTACATAGCAGACGTCAATGGCTCTCATTAACAAAGACTTGTAAAGGGATAAGGCAGTTGCTAAGGAAACGCCTATTGCACAGGAGCTAAACAAACAACAGCAAGTTCGGCAAGAAGCCATGCACGCTAGGGGCCGGATTCTTCCAGTTATAACCTTTTTTGTGTAAGTAGTCCCTTTGACTTCACTAAGAGATGCTTCACAGTTCACATAAAGGAATAGTTTGCAGGTTTGGGACCAAAGAGACAGAAAGCTTCTTAGCACAAACTCTGAACTTTACACTTCAAGTGGAGCAGATCAAAGGCAGCATGCAGGAGAAAAAGCATACATCCACTTTCGGCCCCTGAACATAATTAGTTGTCATTTAAAAGCCATCCTGTAATCTTTGTTGTGATATTCATTTTTACCAAGGGATGTTAACAGGAAACTTCCGTGTGCATTACTCTCATTCTTCTTTTAATCTTCAGGAAGTTGACAGCAACTCTCAAAGATTAGGCACTTTTCAGTGCAACCAAGTGTTGTCCGTAGAGTGTACCCAGGTATCGCTGCATGCTTCAGACAGGCTGAGAGGCTTGCGGGAAGTTTATTTCTGGTGGTAGCTGCTGAATGAGACTGTGTTGCTGCTTTGATTTATTGACTGGTGGAGTGAATTCATTATGAGTCAGATTTCCATGAAAACTCAGCTAATTTTCAGACCCTGAAATAAAGAAGCATTTTACAAAAGAGCTCAGTGAAGCTATTTTGAGAACTTAAAGGGACTTTGAAGTTGGGTTTGGAGATTTTGCTTTGGTCCATGTTCAAGTTTGCAAGTTGCTTAGCCTAACAGATCGAACACCACCATGGAACCTCATATAGATTTCTAGGACGTGGGGCTGGAAGAAAGTATGAAAGGTCATCTGGTCCATCCACCTGCCCTAGAGCAGGATCAGCTGCCCCTAAACCCTCCTGTCTAATTTGTTTGGAACAAACTCTAGTAATGGAGATTCCAGAACCTCCCGAAGGAATCCATCCTTCCAGTTACAGACCTTTCCGGACGTCTAACCTAAATCTCACTTTCTCCAGTGTATTGCTCGTACTGTACCCTGAGGGCATGGAAGGCAGTTTATACCCCTCCTCTTTGTACTAATCTTGGATATATTTGAAGGCTGCTGCCATGTCACTCTGGCTTCTTTTCTCTTGGCTAAACAAACCAAGTTCTTCCAATCTTTCTTCATAAGTTGCATTTTCTAGGTGCCATAGCTTTCTTATTGCTCTTCTCCAGATCTTCTCCAGTTGGCCCAGATCTCTCATGAAGTGAAGTTCCCCAATCTTAAAACAACTGAACAAATAAAAATAACACCCAAGTAAAACCTTGGGAACTAGTAATATGATTAGAGGCCTAGAGACCAGGTCATATGAGGAGAGGCTGAAAAAATTAGGACTGTTCAGCCTGGAGAAGAGAAGACTCAGAGGGGACTTGGTGATGGCCTATATCAAGGGTATACCTCAGGGCTTGGGGGAGCATTTATTTGCCAAGGCCTCCCAAGGGAGAACAAGAAATAATGAGCACAAACTGATTGAAGATTGCTTCAGGCTAGACATAAGGAAAAACTTCTTTACAAGTTGAGTACCAAGGGTTTGGAACAAGCTCCCCCCAAAGGTGGTACAGACATCCACCCTGGCGATCTTCAGAAAACATCTTGGTGCCCACCTTGCTAGGGCCATCTGATCCCAGCAGTCTTTCCTGCCCAAGGGCAGGGGGGCTGGACCCGATGATCTGTAAGGCCCCTTCCAGCCCCTAACAACTATGAAGCTAGCATTGATAAGCAAGAACACTTTCCAGTGGGCAAGTTGTTTAAGGCTGCACGCTGCGCGGCTGCTTTGGCCTGCTTCTGGGTCTGAGAGAGGCAGGACAGGACCCTTTGTGACAGTTCCTGTGTTTTACTGGCGTGCCCTAGTGCTTGTCCAGTGCCATTTAAGTTAGTAAAGCCTCAAACAGGTGTATGAATGTGATTAGAAGATAAGGGTTTGGTTTTGCTAATGTTTGAACCTGCTCAGTGGGAACGGAGGGTGCCTGCTCCTCCTGGAATCAAGTGTTTACTGTGGTGACATTCTGCAATAATGTAATGGCATCAAGTGGAAAGTTTGTTGGAGCTACTGATCCCTTGTTGGGAAGTGAACCCATTGCCCGTACCAGCAGAATGGTTTTTATGGGCTGGTTTTTCCTTTACGACTGTGCATATGGAGCGTTAGTGGGTTAAGAATTTCCTTATTGCATGTTAATGCCCTTTAATATGCTTTGAACCTTTTAATTTTAATTACATTAGTCTCCATTCTATTTTAAGTCCCTGCAATCTGGTTACTCTTATTCAAATCAGGTTTCCGATTCTCCACACTTAGCTGCTGTTTTTCCGCTTTGCTAGATGCTAGGCTGTTTTTACTGCAGAATTATTATTGGCGTTAACACCCTGCAGAGGACAAATATAAATGGCTCCCACAGAACCGCTATTTCCAGATGATCCAGAAAATAATTACTTTTCCCTGTAAAAAATTTGGACAAAAAAACTCATCTGTTTGATGAAAACCCCAAAATTTTCATTGAAAGCATATTTTCTCTGACCATTGGAAAAACCTTTTCCAGAGCACAATTCTGTCTGGTTTATGCTAAAGTCAACAGCCAAACTCCTACAGATTATAGATTAATAGAGCCAAATTATTTTGTGGATATTACAGATCCCCCAGAGGCTCTGAGGAAGAGTCAAACCCTGATGTGCTTAACATTGTACAGATGCAAAGAAGGAGATGGCCCCTTCCTGGAAGACCTTACAGGCTAAATAGACAAGACAGACAAAGAGTGAAAAGGAAAAAAAAGAGGTTCTGTATAGGGGTTCATATGAGGTTCTGTATAGGGACTTATTCTGGCCCCAGTACCATTCAATATTTTCATGAATTGACTGTAAATGTGTATATGATACCAAGCTGGAAAGAGTTGCAAACACTTTGGAGGGTAGGATCAGAATTCAAAATGCCCATGACAGCTTGCATAAAGAGCCTGAAGGAAACAAAGTACAATTCAACAAGGGCAAGTGCAAAGCATTACACTTAGGTAGGAATAATCCACTTTACAAATATAAAAGTGGGAACGACATTCTAGCTAGCTGTTCTGCAGAAAAAGATCTGGGGGACACAGTGGATCACAAACCGACCGAGACTTGACTTCCAGCAAAGTACCACCCTGGAATATATTCATTGTCCTTAGCTGTGGTGTTGACACTTGATTTGGACCCAGCACCTATACCTTTGTTCCGGGTGAGCACAACCTTCAGACCAACCACAACACCTGCCAGTTGATAATAGGCGAATTTATTGAAACAAAGTGATAACAGAAAAGCATCAATATAAACAATCAAACAATTATATATCTACCAGTCCTAGGGCTGTCATCAGAGTCCAAGTACATCTGGTCAGGATGCAGGCTCCACTCTCTTAGGTGTCAGCAGTTTGGAGGTGGGATGCTAAGGCCCACAGCCCTCCTCCAGTGGGGTGCATGAGATGGACTACTGGGATGCCCGTGGTCCATGGTGGCCTCAGGGACCCTTCCCAGGGGACAGGGATGGGGATGGGAACCCCTCTTAAGGAAGAGAAGGAGGGACGGACAAAG